GGGGGGGGGGGGGGGGGGGCAGCAGAGAGAAGGCGGCAGTGGCACACAACTGCTCTTCTTAAATGGTAACACTTTTCTAGAGTCAACGTACTTCCCATTTCTTCTTAAAAGTGTTAACAACCACCATCCTAGAAAACTGGGAGGAAAGACTAAATCACCAAGAATCTCCTATATGGCAACAGAACACCCCCCAAGAATTCTGTCCGCTGTGTTCAACGTTCTTAAAAACCTTCTAAAGTGCTTAAATTCAAACAGGGGTCTAGTCACTGACTGCTTACTGTTCAGTATCTGTACCTGGAGAACACCTTTATCTTGTTATGGTAACAGCAAACAGCATTTGGACAAGTTTTACTAATTTAAACTGAATGTCCAGAAGTTTTAAAAACGCAGAGAAACATCATTTTAACAGTCTGGGCAGAATGGCTGTTCTCATTCCTGAAGGCCAAAGTCAGTAAAATTCCTGACCGAGTCTCAGCTGTCCTGCCAAAACCCTCAATTACATTGGCCAAGTCACTTAAATCCCCACAAGTCAATCAGTTTCTTCTGTACAGCAGAGACCATCATACTTTAAAGGAGTATTGTAAAAAAAAACAAACGTTTGTGCACTGCTTTGAAATCTGCATCACAGAATGTAAGGCACCACCAAATTGAGTGTCAGATGCAGTTTCAGATGCCAAGTTTGCATTTTTTTTAAATACTGCTTCTTGCATTGAGTACCCTAAGTGCTAAGCATTATCTAGTTGTAGGTACATAACAAATTAATGCATTATTAAATTTATACCTCATTAAAGAAGCTGCAGCTATGTGTCGCACCCTTGGGTCTTCATCTCCAAGCAGAGAGATTACAACATTATTGAGCACTCTATCCTGCAGCTTCAACAGCTACAGAGATAAACGAGCATAAGCAAAGATGAAAATACGTTATGACAATGCACTGCTCTAACCAACACAGTGAAATACTAAAATGTAAAACTACATTTCCTTGTGCATACCAGTGAGAAATAGGACTATTTTGCTACTACATTCAAGACTACTTAGTTATGTGAAATAAAACATTCTACATTTTTAAAATTAAAATCAACCTACAAATGGTTTATATATCATAGTAAGTAAAGAAAAGAATATTTATTCTACTAATAAAATATGAAAAATACTTCAGAAAAGCATGTGTATAAACCCCATTAACTTTAACAGGCTTCAAGCACCTAAACAAATGCTTCTTTAAAACAGTATTTTAATCCCCAAATAGTATTTTGATATACTACACAAAAGTTATTACTTACACCAATATAATGATGAACTCCTCTATGCAAATTATCTGTTTTTCCTTCCAAAAAGCTGACTAACCTTAAGATAAAAAGGGGAAAGTCAAACTACATTTCTAATTGAAGTCATGACTTCTCTTAATTGTTACACAGTAATTATTAAGTTAAAATGTTTAGTACTCAGCTGAAAAAGTCAAAATTAGCATAGTTTAGCTTCCCTTTTCCAAAAGGCAATAAATATATGGAAACAAGAGTTTAAATCTTGCAGCAAGATGACCTAAGATCTGACTAAAGTAGCAAAATGGTTAATTATCTCCCACTAATTATGCTTTGTAAAGGTATGTTATCCATACAGATTCCCATGTAGGCCTCCAAATATTCCATGTAGGCCAGATCAAGTTCTGATGAACAGCAGAGTCCTCTGGGATTATGCTCACATCTTAGAGAGTCCTCAAGGCTCTATGGGGTTATGCTAGGGGCATAAAGGGATAGCATGGCCTCAGCCACCTTAGTTCCCTCACCCAGGAAGAATCCCATATTGTAAGACTCCCAATTATGAGGATAAGTCATGGCAAACAGATAACATGTCAACATATCTCTGCTTAAAGGCAAGTACGAGGAGTCTTACTTAGACCACCCTACCAAAGTTTGCATCAAACCAGAGGGCTGCACTGCATTAAGGTATAGCAAGGGGTAAAAGCACAGACTGAACTCCATATTACTGTTTTACGTCTCAGTTAATACAATGGTATTCAAAGAGGCAGGAGAGATTGTCTGGGCTCAAACAGAATGAGACCCGAGGCATCTAGAGACATTGGGAGAGAGGGAGAGGAGCACATCTCTTTGCTAATACCTAGAACAGGGGTGGGAAAAGTCCAGCCCATACGTAGGATTTGGCCAGAGTGGACTGCATTTCCCACCAGCCCCTTCCCACATGGCTGGGGCTGATCTCCATAGAGACCCCAGCCACAGCTGCACTGTGCTAGCGCAAGGCTGGGGTTGCCATGGAGACTGGCCCCAGCCATGCTGACAGGGCATGTGGCAGCTGCCCCCGCAGCAAGAGCCTAGGGGTAAGCAGGGAGGGGCCCTTAAAAGGACACCAAAACCTCATTAAGTGGCCCTTCAGCCAATAGTTGCCCAACTCTGGTCAGACCCTAACTGACTGAAAACATGCATGTAAAACCTGGCTATACCCAATCCTGATAATGCTGAAATTACAAGCAGCTTTTTAGACCAGTCAGGGTAAAGGGTTTGTTTCATAAAGGTTTATTATTTCTTCAGCTTATTCAGAATTCTCAATTCATAAGTTGATTCTCCTACGTAACAAGCTGTACACTAGGGGTGGGCAAAATAAAGCCTGCAACCCGCATCCGGCCCACAGGGCCCCTAAAAAAAGCATAGAGAAATTAATATCTATCTGCCCCCAGCTCCTGTCAAAGTCCCCTCAGCCCATGGGGCTGGGCTGAGGGGACTGGAAGTAAGCGGACAAGCAGGAGCCAGTGGCAGCCAGGTGGGAGCACCCACCAGTGTCCTGGGGCCTGAGCAGAGCAGCAGGAGCACAGGGTCCTGGCAGGAGGGGCTCTATGCAGCTGAGTCAGCACCCCCCTCTCCCTGCTGGTGCAGCCCAGCCTGGCTCCACAGACCCCCGCCAACCCACACCCCACACTGGGCCCCGTCAGCACTAGCCCCAGGACATTGGTGCAGGCCCCACGCTCCCACTCCGCACTGCTTTCCCCACTTTCCTGCCCACCTGCCAGCCAGCCCCCCTCCACTACATGGCTCCCACACACACACAAAAAGCATTTCTGCATATACAGCACAAATGCACACAAATTAGGACAATTTTTTTTTAATTTAATTAAAATATATTACGGGTGTTTGATTTTTAGCATGCAATTTGTTTTTTTCTCCCAAAGATGGCAAACCCTCTTCTCCAAAAGCAGTACTTCCCGGGACAAGGGGAGGGACTTCTGATGGCAAAGGTCAGAGGTCTGGGGGCAGGACTTCTGTTCCCACCATGGTGACCAGGGGCAAGGCACTTGTAAGGGGGTGGGTCTACCCACACAGACCTTGACAGCTTACCAAAAGTCAGTAAGTGGCCCTCCGCCCAAAATAATTGCCCACTCCTGCTATACAGTCTCAACACAGCCTGTTGAAAAAAATAATACATGCTTACCGAAAATCAATCTCAGCAAGAGTTTCCAGGAGTTCTGTCCTTACTAGCCAATAGGAACTATTCCTCAGTGTAAGGAGGTCAGTGATCAACTGTAAGCCTAGTTCACTGTAACTGCCACTGCATAAGCTCATAATGCAATGCTAGAGAGAAAATATTTCACTTGTTAAAAGTTATACTTTGCTATTATGATTGACAACCTTTCTGTACCAACTTTGTGTTCACTTAAACACCCAAAAACACTAATAAAGGCTATTACACAAAGACTAAAAGCTGAGAAACTTTTATATGGGATGAGATAGTTGGGGCTGGCCCTGTTTTGAGCAGGAGGTTGGACTAGACGACCTCCTGAGGTCCCTTCCAACTCTGATTTTCTATGATTCTATGAAACTCTGCAGAAGCCTAAACTCAGAGCCCTAGAAAACTATTAAATCCCTCTAAAGTCTTCAAAATCCAGCAAAGAACCTGAGCCTCACCAAAACAGTATTTGAAGGACTACCTGACAGGACAAATCTATAAAAAGTGAAGAACCCATTTATTATACTCCCAATTGCAAAACATTGTTCAGACAGTCAGAACAAAACACTGACCACAGTAGTACAGCGTTCTCCTGATTCCCCACCATCCCAGTGCTCTACTCCCTCCCCTCTCAAAGTAGAAAGGGGAGCAGGGTGGAAAGTTAATGAGTGTTGCCTGGGTACTCAGCTGTCATCAAGATGGGGCATAGGGAACAGAGGAGCAACACCTCTTCCTTCCCAGGCAAATGGTATGGGAGGCTCAAGACAGGCTCTTCTTCCCCTCGTGAGCTGAGTAACTCCCACCTCCCCCCCCACATCATGCTGTGGGTGGCGAACACACTGCTGAACACTTCTGTAGGGACTCTGTAGAACTCTCTGGGGGCTCTGCATGTCTGTCCTTGCCTCGCAGCACAACATTTTTGTGCTGCTTCAACATGTTATGCATTTGTAGCACTACAAATGCATGTCTATGCACAGCCTGAGTCATTCCTTGACGTTATCCCCATTTCCACAATGGACTCACTGTGTATCCTTTCTAGGATAGGCTACTGGGGTGTGGATAACTGCTTATCATGCTAGCATAGCAGATACCTTGTTTTCCTTGTATTCCCTTATCCATCACATCTTATATGGTAAGCACGTTAAGTTTGTTCCATGTCCAGACAGCACCGAGCACAATGGAATGCAGCTACATGGCTAGCTCTCCCAGACAGCAAGGTAATGCAAGTAATCATCCTACTTACCCTTACAGCTGCACAAGCAAGTTTGCATGTAACCGAGGATTCATCTTTCAGTGTTTTCTGTAACAGAGGTATACAGTCTACCAGAGAAAAGAGATTTCCTGACAACAAAAAAAGTAACAACAATGAAATAAAGGCAAGTTTTGATTATGAAACAAAACAACCCCCCAAAACAGCAACTGTTACCTGTTGAACTTCTGACAGCTACTATCCAGTTTTCCACATCAAAGCGTGATTTAATGAGAATAGAGTTGACAATCGTTCCACAGAGAATGGCAGTAGCTCCTCTAATCTGGGGATCTCCATGGTCAATATAGTTCAAAATATCTGACACGTACTGCTCTTCTGGGAAAATAAGTTACAACAACTACTTTATTTTAAAAATACTAGTTCTAACACTTTAACTACTAGCCTTCTTTATCTGGCATGTTTCATTATGTACAACGCAAGTAAAATACACTGATCAAGCCACTTGGAACAGGAGGGTCTCAAAGCTTGGTAAAACAAAAAAAACCCTGTATTTTCTATAAATTCATAGTAAAGTAGCAGTTCCAGAATGGTACCTGGGAACCAGTATCTAATACAGCACACAGGACACATAATATAATACAGGGACAACTCATGAAGCAAATCAATTGGAATCTTTCCATTGAGATTATGGCTGTTCTCCTAAAAAATAAATCCCAGGATATGGCAACACAAACAAGTTACCATAAAAGAGAAAATTTAGCTCATTTGGTTTGCAACAGCTTGCCTGAGTGCTCATGCCCCAATTCAGACAGAAGTTATAGAAACTGTCACAAAAATGAATGGACAATTCTATGCACTGTATTGTGGGGAGTCAGACTAGATGTTTTTTGGTTCCTTCTGACCACAGTGTTCTAATTCATGTTCTTGTAGGATTCAGTAAGCCTTCTTCATCTCCAAAGATACTCCTATACAGTAGAACACAGACTCTTTGTAGAATTAAATTCCTTAACCCCCCTGCAAAGATCCAGGTTTGCAAAGTATTCCAAGATATGTAAAGCCACAGCAAACAGCTATGTGGGACTGGTGAGGTGTTCCAGCTGTTCGCTGGAGCTTTTATTTCAAATAGCACTGCTTCTCTAATCAACTGTGCAGGACCACTGATGAGCTCCAGCCAAGAAGAGAAGCAGCACCTTTTGAAAAAGTTTATCATCTGTCTAAAGTTTGTCCATCTAGTCACATGATATTGGGAGTTCGCAGGTAGATAGTTATAAATTCAATCATGCCCCCTCAGGTCACTTCAGAAGCACTATTTTCCATAGCCTTGTATCCTTAAAAGTTTACTGTATTTTCTCACATACCACATGCACCAATAAGACATTCACCTCGTTTCTGGAATGCAGAATGTAGAAAGAAGATTTTTTCAGTCATGACTGAGTTCTGACAGCACACAGCAACTCACCCTCAGCCCAGCTCAGTGGACTACGAAGCTAAAAAACCCCAGAAATTACTGCCATTTTGACAGCAGATATGAAGGATTAACACTAGACTCTAGCTCTGCTGCTTGCTGACCTGGATAGAAGTGGCAGTCATTACAACACAATCTCCATGCTTCTATTCTATGGAAGAAAATTAATCTTCCTTGTTTAAGACGCACAGCTGAATTTTGAAGGGCTGAGCTTTGGGGGAAAACGTATACCTTGTATGCAAAGACTTCATATCAGAAGTGCTAATGGTGGGATCTAAAACAAGATGCTGATCACAAACTCAGGCTTGATGATAACAGAAATATTAAACCAGTCATATATTGGCACACTGTGTATGGATGCCATATCTAATGGCCTGTATGTATTTTATAAACAGACAACCTACTAGTATTAATTAGACTACTTTTAGCACATTTATATAGCTGTTTCAACTTTAAACTTGTTCTACGCCAGGGCAGCTGCAGAGAAGCTGAAGTGGTTTAACCAATCCCCCTTTAACTGTCCTAGAATTCACCTATGAGTGAGATCACCAAGATCTTCCAGAGTGCAGTTTCTAGTGGTTGTTGGAGCTAGTGTTTAGTAGAGACTTGGGATCTTCAAATGCAATAGTTTATGAAAGCATCAGTGCTGACAGCAGTTGAGAAATACAACAAAGGTAAGTACATGCATACTGACCAATGCATTTATGTCACTTCAGTCCTTTAGTATAGATAAGAGCTAGAATTTATTTTAAAATGTTCAGAATTTTTTTTTAAGCAACAAACTAGAATCCTAGAATGTAAGCCTCCACATACCATACTCTTCTCCCATAGTTTCCAAGGGTGTCTTATACAGCTTGCTGAAGAAAGATTCGGGATGAAGGGCAACAGCTGCACCAACACAGCTTACAGCCAAGGCTTTCACACTGACTCTTACATCCCTGTCAGGAACTAAAGCTGGAAAATGGAGTCAAGTATAAGAACTTCACAAACTTACTGCTCAATGTTTTTTTAAAAAATAAAAAAAAATTGATAATATTTCCTATTATAAACTTAACCAGATTAAAATGCATTACCTCTGAATTTGAAAAAATTCATATGAAAATTTCATTTGAAAAAAGAGAAACAGAATTAAAATTTCTATACAGGCTTAACAATCACACGTATCACTCTATAGTATCTTCCTCCCAAGAGAGCTCAAGCTGCTTTCTCTTGCATGGAGAATGCAGTTGCCACATTGCACTTACAGAAATGGCTCCAAGAGCTGAGCACAATGCTATTACATAGCTTAGTACAAGGAGAATGTACTAAACACCATAGATTTTAAAACATTAGAAGAGTGTTTCCTACTACTATCCATGACCAGCACAGAAAAAAATTAAACCAAATAAAAACAGACATTAAGAGCCAAAATATACCTGCTGACATTTTACTGCAATTAAATTTTATTCTACTAGCACAGTAACCCCAATTAAAAAAAAAAAAAAAAAAACCACAGTATTCAACTATATTTGAAATATATCCATTCATACATGTGAATCATTACTGGCTACTTAAGAGCATTTAATAATAGCTTTCCTTAGTGTGGCAGGGAGATTCTCTCTGTCTTTGCTGATATTGTAAAATTTTCAAGGACAAGCTAATAAGGATTAAGAATAAGGTAAAGCAAGTCATTCTGTTTTACCACCATATCTAAGGCTGAAAAACAGAAGCAATTTATTAATTTATTTAACAAGCATCAGTTTCTCCCATGCAAGAAACGAGAGGAAATGGCTTCAGGGTGTTCACACAGCACAAGACAGTGCCACAAACAGATAAATGTACTCACTTTGGAAATGGATGCAGCATCACCTGCCTTACTGTAATGCTGGCCTAATTAGCTCTGCTGAAAAGTTACAGTATAGCACCAGTGTATTCATTTTGCTTCTGGTTCTGGAGTTAGTATTCACAGACCATGTACAGGGAACAGTAGTACTTCTGTCTCAAGAATTCTAAAAAGACTGAACACAATGTATGGGAGGCAACTAGATATTATGGGACTATATTAATACCTTCAGGAAGTACATAAAGGAAATGAAATGTATGTCTCTTTCCCCAATGTTACTTACAATGTCCAACTTTGTAATATTAGTTGGTAAAAATTTTCCAAATGAAAAAAAAGTGAGATACAGTGAAATCTAAGACTGAGTCTCCAAAAGCAAGAAACCGGCTCATGCCAAATGTCTACAGTCCCAGCACACGTGAGGTGGAATTAAGTACACTTAGTATGTATAACCTGGGAACTATAACATAGTAATGGAAAATAAATTTGCGACCCATTTGCAGAAATCCCCCTAAATATCATGGAAAGTAATTACTTAGTTTGTATGTGCATTTTTTAAGTGTTTTTAAAAGTTTCTATAGTATGAACCACAGCTTGAATAACTTCCCTGTCATATCTGCAGCAGCTGTTAACATGGAAATCTGAAATAAATACAAATAAGCCCAACTATGAAATAGTATTTTTTGGTAGCCCTTCACTCCCTTCTTTGCTGGTGGCTTAACTGGAACCTAGGAAGCGTCAAGCCTCTTTGTAAGTGAGGATGCCACTTCTTCCTGCAGCAGGCTAGGCATACTACACCCTTTTGGTTCCTAGTTACATTTACCAGTATTCAGTTTGATCTGTATAATATACTGGCTGAGCACTGTATAAAATTGCTCAAAAAGGAGCTACAAGTATTATGTGATCTGCCAGCTCTGCCTGAACTAAAGCTGTGGTTCTTAACCTTTTTAGACTTGAGGTACCCCTTGACAGACTAAAGACACCCTTTGGAGAATGCCAGCTCTTAGTTATCACTCTTTGTGAGTGCAGAAAAGTAGTAGAGCAATTCTTCCATTGCAAAGAACTCAGAAATACCACAATGGGTCAGAATGTTTTTAACACTGTGCATTCCTATTTGAAACACTGGGTTTATCTTGTGAATAATGTTTGCGCACCTAACAATACTACCACTAAGATACCCTGCAAAAGGATCTTGCATCCCAGGGTGCTGTTGTACCCTGGTTAAGAATCACTGGACTAGAGACTGGAAGTTGCTGTCTTGAGGAGAGTTAAAAAAAATTAACTGGTTATTGTACTGTTGTCTTGAGCCATTCCTTTGAAGAGTACTTTTATAAATATTTGAGTTTACAGTATTATAACAATTAGAAGCCTGGCAGTTTGAAACTGTAATCAGTCAGTTATAGCCTGACATATACCACCAAGTCATTTTAAAGCCCTTTCCAATGTCTTGTCATAGTTTATTTAAACTCCTACCAGAAAAAGCAGAAAAAGTTCTTCATCAGCTGAGCTTAAAAGAATATGTTATATTCACTATACCGAAGCAGACAGCAAGCCATTATAACTTACCACCCTTCTCTCCAGTAAGTAGAAAAGAAGCAGACAGAAGTCTAACACAATGAACAAGGGGAGCAGAATTTCCATCTGTGTAGTGACCTATGTCACCCTTTATTCTAGAAGGCTATTAAGAAAAACAAAAACACAGGTTTTACATATCTTATAAGGTCAAATATAAACAAAAGTTATGAAGTAAAATACAGTTTAGAAATACTATTACGTAAACTAAAAAGAATGCAATGAGGTTATAGAAGTAAGAGTAGTACAGAGCAGGGGCAGGGGGACTGGTGACTATGAACCCAGGCCTGGCAACCTAGGCCAGGGTGGAAAAAGCACATGCTTGGAGCTAAACTCTGTTAAAACAACATCCTCCTCCAAAATGATGCCAAGCCCTAGTATAGAACAGTAAGGCAGTGGAAGAGACTGCCCAGAGAAGCCAGTATTTTATTTTTCTTAGGCTAGAAAATAAATGTTGAAGTATTCATGTGTGTGTATTACTGATCTATCCTACATAATAGGGATTTTCCACTTCTGTTTGAGGTATTTTTAAAATAGAGGTGCACCACTAAAATCGGTCTGATATCAGATCGGTACAGATACGAAGAAAATTGTCTATATTGGATATTGGCTTGATGGGGCCGATAATTTGGCTGATAAGTGCGCATGCCGCATGCAAATGCAGCACAACATGAAGCAGAACCGGCCACCTGAAGAGCTGCCTCCAGCTGCTAAGTCAGAAGGGATGCGGGGGGGGGGGGGGGGGAGACAAAAGGCCCCCCCGGGGGGGGGGGGGGGGGGGGGGG